TTAGTTTAGTTTTTTATATTCCTTAGTATTAGTATCCGTTTTCTTTGATGTATTAGTTTTATTTTTACCCCTTTTTTTTATTTTCCATTATCTTTTTTTTTTTCTTTTTTCCTTCCCTACAAGAAAATATCATCAGTTTGGCAACATTCTATTGTAGAGTAGGAATCTTGACAAAGTGAACAACAGCCAGTTGAGGAATCCAAGAAAAATAAGTCCAGAGTAAGTTCCGGATCTCTGAAGAAAACCAAGTATTGCTAGACAGGTCATATTTGGACAAACACAGCAGTTTAATAATTTACCCTAACTGCAAGGAATGTTACAGCATCTGTGAGATATGCTGTGGGTGAGTTTACATTTTGGTCGAAACACTTATAGATTTAGATTTCTTATACCATGTAAGGATAAAAGTCTGTTCCCATAATAAAATAAACAAGATTGTCGAAGAAAATAAATAAACTTGCTTCTATACAAATACTCAATTGCCAGATATGGCAGCTTGTATAAAATCTATAGTATACAGCTATCTATATGCAAACTACTTAAATAGGCAACCAAAAGTTGCATGTGTGGCTAGTTCCGTTGTGAGCTTCTCACCCAATATACTTGAATAAAAATCCCTACACCAAAGAGGCTAGTTAAAAAAAAAAAAAAAAAAAAAAAAAAACAAACAAACAAATACTCAATTGCAAAAATAATATAAAAAAAAATGAAAATATTAAAGCTTAAAAATACAAATTTGCTATAGTAAATTGAAAAAATATGAAGAACAAAAAATCTAAAAAAACAATTAAAAAAGGTTAAAAAACATAACAGAAATATAAACAATATGATTTTGCAAACAAGCTAACAAAAAAAAACAAATAAGCAGAAGATAGTAAAATAGTTTTAAACATAAATATTCCAAATATTAGCAAGATAAAAAGATATTACAATAGACAGTCTAATGAGAGAAGTTGTGAATATAAATATTGAATGCAGAATAAGCAAACCTAAATAGAAATAACAGATAGTTAAATAAAATGAAAGAAGAAACTGAACTAAAAGAAAACTTGAAGGTAGATAGATAAAAATAAATAAAAAGAATGTACAGTATAAGAAGAAAAAAAAAACAAAAGATAAATGTTTCAAATAAAATACCTAGGTGAACTATTACCAACCTTGACAAAACTAAATGCGAAAAGACCTGAAGTATATAAAATAGATATATGCATAATATGCAAAGACAAAGCAAAAAATATACCACTTTGTCAAATGCAGAGAATACCAAATATTATTGAAGACAAAGCAAGTTAAGAAGGATTCAAAGTATTCCCAGAAAGAAATCCTGTATAGCGTTGTCAAAAAAGGGTGTGGAAATATCAATTTTAAACCTGTCCCGCAAAACGGGCCAGGCAGCAGGACCCAATGCAGGGTCCTAATATATATCATTAATAAAGATAAAATGTATATTAACCAAGAATTTGAGGCTGCATTTAGAAAAATACTAGATTTAAAACATCTATATTTAAATCGTCTAACCATAATTTTTTAATTAAATCAAATTTTTCTTATAAATTTACATATAAAATTGAGGTATATTAACTCATTTGACAAATAAGTATAACAATAATTAGAACATGTTCCATGTTATTGATTCAAAACAAGAAGATATTTTGTAATTATAAATGGATTTTCTTGACGTAAAGGTGCCTCTATTTCCAAAGTTTACGTAAACTTTCATTTTGTTCTTCACCTTTCTTCATAACCTTAGCAACGGCCATTTCAAAATCTTCCTGGGTTACATGTACGCGACGTTCTCGAAGTGCATACATACCAGCTTCAGTACAAACAGCCTAAATCATCATAAAGAGACGTTAAATTGATAAAAAGGATAGAATGTTCCAATACAAAGACCGATTACCTTGACTTCTGCTCCACTAGATCCAGTCATTTTTTCTGCAATCTTGCGTAAATTGATGCCACGAGTTAAATTCATTTTACGTGAATGAATCTTTAGAATATCAGCACGGGCCTATTCAAATAAATTATGAACAAAAACTATAAATGGTATGGATAATACATTTTTGAAAAATTAAAAAATAAATATAAATACATACAGCCTCAGATGGCGGGGGGAATTCAATCTTCCTGTCAATGCGACCAGGCCGCAGTAGTGCAGGATCAAGTATATCAATACGATTTGTTGCCATGATTACCTATAATAACAAATTAATATATCACAAAAAAGGCGATATCACATATATGTTAAAATGTGGCACCTTAATATTTTTTGTAGGTTCAAATCCATCCAATTGGTTTAATAATTCTAACATTGTCCTTTGTACTTCTGAGTCACCACCACCTGAGCCAGATTCTATACGTGAAGAACCAATCGAATCGATCTCATCCATAAAAATGATGGATGGAGCATGTTCTCTATTTAAAAAACGCGTAATAATTTTAAGGGATCTTATGTTGAATGCGCGATTAATGTATAATTAATGAAGGATTAATAATAGACACACGTACCTCGCCATCACAAACAATTCTCTGACCATTCTACTACCTTCACCAATATATTTTTGTACCAATTCTGAACCGGAAACACGAATGAACTTACAATCCGTATGATGAGCTACAGCACGTGCCAAAAGAGTCTTTCCAGTGCCGGGAGGACCATAAAGCAAGACACCCTTTATATAATCGAAGTGATTAAAGATTGAGTTATGATACTAATTTTTTTTTTCCCAAAAAATAATTATCATCCTTACTTTTGGTTGAGCAATCCCTAGGCTTTCAAACAACTCAGGATGCTTCACAGGTAACTCGATTACTTCCTTGATTTCCTTAATTTGTTTGTCTAATCCTCCAACCATTTCGTATGTCGAATCTGGAACTTTTTCTACCATCATTAATGAAACAAGCGGATCAACTTTATTTGGCAGAATTTTATGTAATGTATAAGAATCATTTCGGAGAGCGACTCGGCAGGTCGGTGTGATTTGAACAATGTCAATATCTGGAGCGATATCAACAACATATTTTCCTTCCGGATGTACCTATCAATCACAGAATTGTAATTACACGAAATATAATTGTTATAGAATAAGTACTGGTATCATTACCTTGACTAGAACTTTTTTTTTGCCCATGAGCTTGACTACTTCGCCAACATACGATCCGGGTTCTTGCAAGAGTTGCAATTCTTCCCTAAGTAGCCGAACTATAAATTCAACAAAACATTGAAAAATGTCAATAGGCGAAGATCAGATAATGCTTTATATAAATCATTTAATAAGGAATTCTGAAGTAAATTTTTTGTTTGAGCTCAATATCGAGTTACAAAATCCCTGTAAATAATAAAAAATACCTTTTGCATTCAAAGCATTTCTTTGGGCTTCCAGACGTCTCAAATTTTGCGTTTTCTCATTTATTATTAATTCTGCCTCCTCGATCTTGGTCTGATAATAATTTTTGATTCCTTCTCTACCCATTGTCGAAAGTAAGCTCAAATTATAGAGTATTTCGCGAATTTATATCCAATCATTACCGATCTTTCCCAAGTTGTGTTACCTCAGAGCCAATATATTACGTACGTACGTACGTATTTCAGTACTTACCAGTCGGACAAGATGTCACGCAGATCAGGGGGGTAAATTTTTTACTATGAAATTTGAGTGATCGACACTTATATGAAATTCTC